TGGTACAGCATCACACTGTGCACCTCAAACAAATAAAATCATATTTAATCATATTTCAGTGAAGCTGGAAAAAACCTGGGGATTTTTCATGATAAGAAATGAATTGAACAAAAGCAGTGCTCACCACAGTGCTCGCCACATCCTCGCCACCCTCACACTGACTTTTCCTATTGGGTTCTTTTTTTTCTCCCCCTGTCACAAATGATGGCATGGCTATTTATTCCTCAAAAAGAAGTAACATGTTGGGGAGGTTGAGGGAAGAGGAAAGAAAGAAAACATCCCCAATACGACAAATGAAAATATCAGGAAGCATGTAACGCACTGGAACTACCTCTGGAAATGCTGGTCATGGAGAATAATCAGAAGGAAACATCAATGATACCAGCACTAACTGTGACAGAGTAACATTGACCAACTGCAGCGTCCTGCCTGACTGTCTGCTCTGCCCCTGAGGCTTTATTTAAATGGATGTTGTGTTTTCTATTCCTCTTCTCCCTCTTCCCCCTCCCTACCCTCGCAGGAAGCAGGATCACCTTTTCCCATCCTAGGCCCAGTTCTCTGTCCTTGAGCACACCCCCGTGACACACACAGGAACCAAGGAATTCAGACGCTAGGGATGGCACCAGAAGATCTAAGAATGACTATCTCCCTGGTCAACTATATCTAAAAAGAACAAATAAAATTAAATTCAAAAAAGAAATGACTATCTCCTAAATTACAAACCCCCGGACAGGAAACACCTGAAATGCAGCCTTTGAATAGCTTCTTTAAAAACCCCCTGTCCCCCCTGATGCAGAAACACAGTCTCTGGGACAAGAGTGTCCTGTTTCTCCTTTGCTAGCAAAGCAATAAAACTTCCTCCTTTTTCTCAAAATCTAGTCCTTGTTATTGGATTGGCATCGGGGACAAGGATAAGCTTTTGGTGACAAAAATAAGGGACTTTCAGTATGGGATGATGTCAAAATGAACCTCACTATTATGTATGATTGTAACACACTAATAAAAACATTTTTAAAAAGCAATAGTGATCAATATTTCACCTGGGATATTGAAGATGGAGGATGTGCCCACAGGAAATGCAGACAGCCCGACCAACTCAACAGGTCCTGGTCAGGAAGGCTCATCTCTGGGAGGAGCTCAGAGGCTGCTTCCTGGCTGGGCAGGGCTTTTTGAGGGAGGCAGTCATATGTGACTCCTGCAGCCTCTCTTTCCCTGGGGCCCAATATCCAGAGCTCCTCATTAGACCAGCTATGTTACTATCATCCTGATCCCAGATGTGCACATCCTTAAAGACCAAGAATATACAGTGAGGAGTTCAGGCTGATTTCCTGACCCCTGGGCCAGGCATCCAGCCATCCAGCTGTCACCATGGTGTCTGCTCATCTCCGTTTCTTGGCCCTTGCTTACATAACACATGCCACTTCTCTAATAAGTAAAGTTCTCCTTTTTTTAATATTTATTTTTAGTTTTTGGTGGACACAGCATCTTTATTTTATTTTTATGTGGTGCTGAGGATAGAACCCAGTGCCCTGCACATGCCAGGAGAGCGTGCTACCGCTTGGGAGACTTCTCCAGCCCCTAAAGTGGTCCTTTTAAACTACAAATGAAATCATCTCCACATAACTACTGATATCAGGAAGACTTGTAGCTATTTTAGGAGTGAAAATATGTAGCATATGTGGATGTAAATACTATAATTAATATTAGCTAATGTAAGGCAAAAAGGCAAATGCTCAGCCTTTTCATGTAAGATTGATGTCGACTGACCCTTAAGATTGCTTTTTATATTTTCCACGGAAGATTTTAATCCATGTGATTGATGCGGACTGCCAGATATATACATAGGACCATTGTTTAATTGGGTTATTGGTGTCTTTACTGTCAAGTTGTTTGAGCTCCATACGCATTCTGGATATTAACACCTTGCCAGACATGTAGTTTACAAATATTTTCTCCCACTCTGTGGTTCACTTTGTCCAATTTGTCAATTTTTGTTCTGTAACCTGTACATTTGGAGACTTAAAAAAATATTATTGCCCAGGCCAATGTCCTGTAGGGTTTCTACTCTGTTTCCTTCTAATAATTTGAGAGCTTTGGGTCTTACACTTAAGTGCCTAATCCATTTTGAGTGAATATTTCAACTGATGACACATAGGGGTTTTATTTCCAACGTCCTAAAGGATTTCTACTACATTTCCTGCTAGTAATTTGATAGCTTTGAGACTTACACTTAAGTGGCTAATCCATTTTGAGTGGGTATTTGTAACCAATCACATATAAGTGTCTAGTTTTATTCTTCTGCACAGTGCTTTTTACTTGAAAAATATGAGTGAACTCAAGAGTTGAGCACTGCCAAAACCAGGACTGTGGACTTACAGCACCTCAATGTTTCAAGAAAGTCCCAAAGAAACAATTTAACCAAGATCACTGTTGGTTTGGTGGATGGGATTGTGATGCTTTCCATAATATGAAGCACCGATGTCAGTACGCTGAGTTAAGGAGCACAGAGCTGACTGCTGATGGGTGAGGACAACCCAGGACGTGCCACATAAGTAATTAGACCAAAGCCCGATTGGAATGACCTCAGAAAAATATGGTAGAAGAATGGGTAGAACAAATACAGAGATCTCTCTGAGACTATAGCTAGAGCAAGATGAGGGGTCTACAAAGGGTTTTGCATTTAGGAAAGATTCGTGGGCGTTTGAAGCAACGATATCACACCTCACGGTGGCCTTCTGAAGTAAGCTATGCTAGTGCCAGATCAGGAATACTCAGGTGTCAACAGGACTCCATCAAGAGCCTTCTGAAAACTCCCACCTGGAATGAAACACCTTTAAGCCTCCTTTAACATCCAAGGCGTCCAGCTCTGTGGCCACGTGGGTAGGATGAAGCCAGGTGGAGTGTGGAAGCAGGACCCACGCTCCTGATCTGAGAACATACCTCCTGAAGCCAAAACTGCTGTCTGACTACGATTTTGAATATTTCAAATATTGCTTGAAGATTAAACCATTATCTTTTTTTTATTTCACAAAAAAAAAAAACATTTTTATTTGACTTTCAACATTTCACAGTTATGTGTATGTTTTCCATCTTCGCATTGGTGCATTATAGTTGCACATACTGATGACAGTTGGCATTACGTATTTGTACGTGCACAGGATGTAACAACACAGTTTAGCCAATATCACTCCCCATCACTTCCCCCTCCTTCCTCACCTCCCACTCCATGTTCCCTTTCCTCTATGGATTTCCCTTTGATTTTTAGGAGGTTTTTGTTTTCCTTTTTCCTCTGTACCTTCTGCAAACCGTTATCTTTTAAGCTGATGTGTTGCACATATTTTTTTTTCCAAACAGAGAAATGAGAAAATAAAATATGCAGGGTTTTTGTGGGGGAGAACTAAAGGAAAAATGACAGTTTGTTAGTGTATATCCTAAAATGGGTCTTAGGATGAGCAAGACACAAGCCCCTGACAGCCGGGTTCAGGGTGCAGCTGCAGTAGAAGGCTGAAGAAGACGGCAGAGACGAGCAGGAGGCTGAGCAAAGCCCACCTGCATATGTCAATCACGTTGGAGGCAGGGGCTTAACACATTGAGTCAATACAAAGGGCTTAGCAGGAAACTCACACTTGGCGAGTGTGATGTCCCTGTTATGAAAGATTATCAGGATAGAGAGTTGAGGAAAAGGCCTTGAATTGGACAAGTCCCTTACTCCCTTCAACTAGTACTGGCTGATGTCCTCTGCCTGAGACACGGAAGTGTGCCACTGTTCTCCCTCCACCCTTCCTGCTCACACCTGTCTCAAGTGCTAATCACATATAGAGACGCCTCTCCTCTGTACTGGACTGTGCTTTCTTCACAAGTCCCATTATCCTAACACACATTGTGGGGACCGGGCGCAATGCCACATGCCTGTAATCCCAGCAACTCGGGAGGCTGAGACAGGAGGATCACGAGTTCAAAGCCTGCCTCGGCAACGGTGAGGTGCTAAGCAACTCAGTGAGACCCTGCCTCTAAATAAAATACAAAATAGGGCTGGGGATGTGGCTCAGAGGTTGAGTGCCCCGCAAAAAAAAAAAATCTGGGGAAGAATGACACCAATTTCACTCAAAAAAATACAACTTAATTCTAAAGATATCTATTTGTCCATATCCTGTATAAAAACAAGTGATAATAAAGAGAATGTACTCCAAAATATAGATACTAAAGTCCCAATTCTATGTATAGGTCAGGGAGAACAAATACATCTTTAATGTTATATTAAGATGTTTCTAAAACAATACCTGTAATGACTATGGACTAAGAGTGTACTGTAAGAAAGTTTCATTGTCTTTTTTAGAAATTTCCTAGTTTTCCTAATTTCACAATAGTAGTTTCAATACATAAATTTGTTAAACACAACAAGGCAGGGGGAAGATTAGAAGTTCTGTGGATCAGACAAAGGGGAATAAACGGAAGAGGGGGGATAGGAATAGGAAAGACAGTGGAAGGGATCTGAAATAACGTTCCTATGTACATATATGAACGTCCCACTGTGAATCTCTCCATCATGTGGATACCATAGTCCAGGATGAGTCTCAGTAACCTCTTAGTAGATTGTGAAATAGTACATTTGCTTCACATTAGGTCCATCTGTGGGGGGGGGCGACCCACCTGGCCCTAACCGTGGGATCAGGCATAAGTTGTTCTTCAGATAGTAACACAGCCCTCCTGAGACCTCTCCCTGCCCTATTCTCCTACTCCTCCAGTGTTCCTCCTTCCAAAACTGATCCATCAATAATTGCTAAAAATTGAACACCCAACTTGGGCTCTCCTTCTGTGGAGTCAGAACAACACAATGCAGTTTAGAGATGAGATTGAAATCATTTGCCAAACAGATATCACAGACCTGGACAAATGGCAGTCAGGTTTGAAATCCAAGTTGCCATGTATTTAGACACCATATTAGCTTGTCATTTTGGAGGAACTTGATGATGCAAGAGCAGGCATCCTGTCACTTTAGCTCATTCCGGAGACCCAAACCTAAAGCCATGACACAATCCCAGAGAAGGACTCCCACTGATGAGATGTCTCAGAGCTCCCTTCATTTCCCTGTTCCTCAAGCTGTAGATGAAGGGGTTCAGCATTTGAGGGACCACAATGTACATTATTGAAGCCACTGCAGTCTTCATGGAAGTGTCAGTCACTGCAGAACTCATGTACACACCAAAACCTGTCCCGTAGAATAAGGACACAACTGAGAGGTGAGACCCACAGGTGGAAAAGGCTTTATACCTTGCACCCACTGATGGGATCCTCAAAATAGAGGAGACAATTTGGATATAAGAGAAAATAATCCCAGAGAGAGGGACACCAAAAAATATGATACTCACTAAATACACCAGGAGGTTATTGATGAGGGTGTCAGAACAGGCCAGCTTGATGACCTGAGAAAGTTCACAGAAGAAGTGGGGGATCTCCAGGTCTGTGCAGAAGGACAGTCGCAGCAACGTCAGAGTGTGGAGTAGGCCATGCACAATGCTAAGGAGCAGGCAGAGGAGACACAGCAGGACACACAGGCAGGGGTTCATGATGACTGTGTACCTCAGGGGGTGACAGATGGCCACAAAGCGATCATAGGCCATCACTGCAAGGAGAAAATTTTCTAAACTACCAAAAATCAAGACAAAGCAGGTCTGGGAGAAGCAGCCTGTGTATGAGATGCTTTGATCCTGAGTTTGGATGTTCACCAGCACCTTGGGGATCGTGGTAGTACCCATACAGATGTCATTGAAGGACAGGTTGGAGAGGAAGAAGTACATGGGGGTGTGGAGGTGGGAGTCAGAGCTGACAGCCAGGATGATGAGCAGGTTTCCCAGGATGGTGACCAGGTACATGGACAGGAACAGGCTGAAGATGAGGGGCTGCAGGGCTGGGTCCTCTGTCAGTCCCAGGAGAAGGAATTCTGAAACAGCTGTGTGGTTTCTGGGTTCCATGTTGCTGGTGAATGTTATGAAAAATATGGGGCAAAAATAAAATAAGATGAATGGTGTCTATACAACCAAAAAGAGTATCAGATGGTGACTTGGTAGAAATGAAAAATCTTGGAATGACCCAGACCTTCCTGATGATAAGATCTGAAGCTGTGGACCAGCAAGACGTGTCTGAACAAGCACTGCAGATAAATTTCATGTCCAGCTCTTTAAACAAAAAAGAAAGATTATCCTTCCTGTATACTCTGAGGCCAAGACAACATTCAGTGCTCACCTCTGCTTCCTATTTCTGTCCTATCCTCGGTGTTCATACCTACTCTCCTTCCCATGCTCTTTACTGGACAGCAACACTTTTTCCCACATTGTGTTTAGAGCTGATGACACTCAGCATCTCACCTGGCTGCTGAAGATGGAAGGTCTGCTCTCAGCACAGGTCAACAGGTCGACTGAGGCAGCAGGCTCCCGGTCAGGAAGGCCCATCTCTGGGAGGAGGCGGTGCAGGTGCTGCTTCCTGGCTTCCCAGGAGGACTCCTGCAGTTCTTATCCCTGGGGTTCAATATCCAGAGCTCCTCATTAGAGCAGCTATTTCATTATCATTCTCCTCCCAGGAGGACACATCCTTAAAGACCCAGACTATGAAAGTAAAGAATACCAAGGGACAGATTTCCTGACCCCAGATGTCCAGTACCTCCCCCAGCTCTCTCCGTGGTTCATGCTCATAATTTCTGAGACCTTGCACTCGTAACGCATGGCACTACACTAAGAAATGACAGTGTTCCCTTTTGGCTATAAACAAAAGCATCTCTACCTATGTCATGATATTAGAAAAACTGATTCAATTTGGGGGTGAAAATAAGGCCCAGGCACTTGAGAATACATAATACAATGATAGAGATGGCTAGGATGGAAAACGGCAAACATTCAACGTGTCTCTTCCAAATTGTCATCGATTGTTTGTTGAATCTTGATTTTTTGTTCTCTACATTTTGCCCAGAACATTCTAATCTGTTTCTTTAATGCTGCTGACTTCAAATTATAAATACACGGGCATCGTCCAGAAACTTTTTAGTTTGATGCAATCCCTTTGTCTGTTTTTACTTCTGTTTCCTGTGCTTTGGGGGGTCGTATTAGTCAGGGTTCTATAGAGGAACAGAACCGATGGGAGGTCTGATTATAACAAGGGGATTTATTAGATTGGCTTACACAACCAGAAGCTGGCTAGTCCACAGTAGCCGTCTACAGGCTGGACAGCTGGAGGAACCAGTAGCTGAGTAGTCTAACAGGCTGAAGCCTCAGAGTAAGATCAATAATTCTACCCCAGCCCGAGACTGAAGGATTCTGGAAACTCACTGGAGAATCACTGGCAGAGTCCTCTGGAAGAGTGAAGGAACAAGAGTCTGATGTCCTCAGGTGACAGCAACAGCAATCAAGAACCCGCAGGAAGAATTGAGCTGCTATCTGCTGCTGCTTCCTTGTTTTTCGACTTGTCCATCCAAGCCTCCAGCCTATTGAATGGTGCCGCCCACACTTAGGGAGGGTGTCCACTTCAATTGGCTATCCCACATGCCAATCATTCTAGACACACCCTCAATGACACACCTGAAGCCTCTTAGTCTTCTCCATGTATTAATCCAATCAATTTGAAAATTCATATTAACTATGGCAGGGGTCGTATCCACACTATTATTATCCACACCCCTAAGTTTTTGTCTAGTACTTCCAGATATTCATGCCTTACATTTAGGTCTTTGATCAATGTTGTGCCGATTTTTGTACAGCAAGAGAGAAGTGTTCATTTCCAGCCTTTGACCTATGGAGATCATTGGCCCAGAACCCTGTATTGGAAGCTCTGTTCTTGCTCCAGATTAAGTCACTGACATCTTTATCAAGAATAAGATGGTGCGCATGTGCGGGTTTATTTCTGGGATCTCTATTCTGTTCTATCCACGTGTCTTGTTTTTATGCTAGCCCTGTGCTGCTTTGGTTACTGTGGCTCATATGACAGCTCTGATTTCTTTCATCAGTGTTGTGTCATTTTCTTTGTAGAGATCTTTTACTTCCTTGGTTAAATTTTTTATTCAGTATTTTAATTTTGTAGCCAATGTGAATGGGAGGGCTTTCCTGAGGTCTTCCTTGGCAGTCTTGTGATTGGTGTACAAAAGTGCATTTGCTTTGTGTGCTGATTTGTATTCTGCAACTCTATGGGATTCACTTACACAATCTGGTGAAGCATTTGGTTTTCGACATACAGAATCATATAACCTGCCATGAAACCACTAGAAGAAAACTTAGGGGAGACACTTCAAGACTTTAATATAGGCAATGGTTTTGGGATGTGATACCCAAGGGAACTGGGAACAAAAGCAAAAGGAGACAAATGGGGTTAAAATCAAACTGAAAAGCTTCTGTACCCAGAGGAAGCATTAAAAATAGAAGTCATGGGCTGGGGAGGTGGCTCAAGCGGTAACATGCTTGCCTGGCATTCGTAGGGCGCTGGGTTCGACCCTCAGCACCACATAAAAATAAAATAAAGATGTTGTGTCCACCAAAAACTAAAAAATGAATATCATAAAAATTCATTCTCTCTCTCTCTCTCTCTCTCTCTCTCTCTCTCTCTCTCTCAAAATAAATAAATACATCTTTTAAAAAATAGAAGTCAATGGAGCAAAGGATAGGGATTGAGGGGGAGGGAGGAGAGACAAGAAAAGGGAGGAATGGTGGGATAATCCAACTATATATACTCAATATGAATATACCACAGTGAATTCACTTTTATATATACCCATAATGCACTAATTTAAAAAACTATAAAAGAAATATCAGAATAGTAGAGGAAAGGCAATGGGGGAGGGAGGGGGAGGGAAAGAGGAAGAACTGGGGACAGAATTGGAGCAAATTACATCCCGTGCTGGTAAAGATATGTCAAAATGAAACCCAATATCATGGATAAATATAATGCACTAATAAAAAAATCTTAAGAGACAAACTACATAATGGGAGAAATATTTGTTAATTATCCTTCTAACAAAGGATTAATAACCGTAATATATAAGGTACTCAAAAAATCTCAACAACAAAAATACACATAATACAAGTTTTAAAATGTTCAAGTAATCTGCATAGACATTTTCCAAAAAAAAAAAAGATGAAAAATATGCTCAATGTCTGTAGTCATCAGAGAAATGCAAATCAAAATCACAATGAAATACCATCCCAACCCAGTTAAATCCCTACTATCAAAAAATAATAATAGCAACAAATGCTGGTAAAGTGCAGAAGGAACCGTGTTACACTGTTGGTAGGAGTGTACATTAGTATAGGCACTGTGTAAAAGAGCACAGAGGTCTCAAAAGACTGAAGACAGAGCCACTCTCTGATCCAAATATCCCAGCACTGGGTATAAAGCTGAAGGAAATGAAGAAATGAAGTCAGTGTGTGAAAGGGATGCCTGCTTACTCACGTGAAAAACTATTCACAACAGCCAAGATATGGAATCAGCTCAGGTGCTAATCAACAGAGGAATGGATAAAGAAAATGCAGCATCGATGCACAATGGAATAGCATTCAGCTATAAAGAAGCATGAAATCTTGTCATTTGCAGAAAAGTGGGTAGAACTGGAGGACATCATGTTAAGTGAAATAAGCCAGACCCCGAAAGCTGGTGTAGCCTGTTCTCTCTCATGTGTGAGGACCGAAGAACTTTAAAAATTTGACATCCTGAAAGTAGAAGAGGGATTATCCGACACCAGGTAGGGGGCTTAGAGGAGGGTGAGATGGGGAAGGAATGAGAGGGGAGAGAAGGATGGGTGGATACGATCAGCATATGTATATAGCAAGAGCACAGAGAATTTCATTATTTTGAATAATATGTATTCAGAATTATAATAATTTTTAAAATCAAGAAATAAAAGTTTCTGCTTTACAAAACTTGCTGTCAAGTCAGGTCCATACCTGGTTTGGTAGTGCACACTTATAATCCCAACAATTCAGGAGGCTGAGGCAGGAGGATCACAAAATTCAAGGCCAACCTGGCCAATTTAGGTGAGACCCTGTCTCAAAATAAAGAAACAGAAAGGACTGGGGATGAAGCTCAGTGGTAGAGCACCCCTGGGTTCAATCCCCAGTACCACACATACACACACACACACACACACACACACACACACATGCACACACACACAATGCAATAGAGTGAGCAAACTAGCCAGATTGAGAGAAAATATCTTCAAAAAAAATATATGCCTGATGAAAGAACTGCTATCCAAAATATATAAAGAGCTTTTAAAACTCAACAGTAAGAAAATCACTTAATTTTTAAATGTACCAAGGATCCAAACAATATTACAAATTTGCTTTTATTGAGAATACAATCATGGAAGAAACCAGAAAAAATAAAAATTGTTACTTATGAAGAACTGAACTGAGGAGGAGGATAGAATATAATGGAAGAGGGATAATCTAGACATCTCTGAATTCTTCTTTTTGTGAATGTAATTTGGGAAACCTGCTAGGTTTTTATACATTTATTAGATTCAATTCACTTAAACATAAAAGTCAAAATGAAACAAGTAACCTGTATGTTTCATTGGAGGCTTTATAATAGAAAGGAAATTTCTTTAGATACTTTAAAACTATCATAACTTAACTGAATATTCTTAGTGGGATACATTCTTTTTAGAATGTTTTTAATCTTCCCAAATAAATCTATTTTTTTAGCAGTCTATTTTTGGTGAGAATGCTGATGTTGTTTTGCTGCAACCGACTTAGGGAAATTATAAAATAATGCTGCTAATTTGTTGTCTTGGGAACTAAGAATTTAAGAACATCCAAAGGATTTCCAGTTTGAATAAAAAAGCAATTTTTAAATTAAAAACCAATAATCCCAGGAACTGGAGATGCAGGTCATGGCAGGTGCTTACGTAGCAGGCTCCAGACCCTGGGTTCAATTCCCAGCACTGCAAAAAATGCATATATATGGCCAAGTAGTTATGCTGGCACAGCTGTCCCAGCTACGCAGCAGGATG